AGACACCCGGAGGAGATCCGGAACAAACAAACAAAAGAGTAAATGGGCTTGAAAAGTGTGCAGTCTGAGCCAGCAGCAGTGGCACAGGCCTGTAATCCCAGCGCTCAGGAGGCAGAGACAGGCAGATCTCTGTGGGTTCGAGGCCAGCCTGTTCTACAAAGTGAGTCCAGGACAGCCAAGGCTACAAGAAAAGAAAAAAGAAGTGTGCACTGTGGCCAGAAAAGGAGCACAGTGAACACTGGGGGCTGGGTGTAGCGGCACACCCCTTAATGCCAGCACAGTGGGAGGCACGGGGAAGCACACTGGCCAGACATGATGGAAACCTGGGGTCCAGACACGCTAACTCACCCCAAGGCCAGTTGGCTGTTCTGTTTCAGGACTTTCCCTGGGCAGACAATTTCTATTCACAGAGAATATAAGGCATTACCAACCCAAGAAAGAATTCCATCGGCATGCAGCTTGGTCAACCAACACTTTTGGGGAGGGTGCTACTTCCAGGAGTGTGGGTGACTCCCAGACAAGGGCCTCAGTGAACAGCTCGTCCCAGAACGGGTAGCAGCTCACCGAAACCACAGGCGTCCCTGTGCAGCACGCAGGCGGCCGGCCTAACAGTCCTCCCTCCCCAGCACTCCTATGGGAGGAGCCGGCCTCCTGAGCGGCCTGGCTCTTGTGTCTCACGAGTCCTTCTTTGACTGTTTTATTTATTTATTTTAATCGTACGCGTGCTCTGCCTGTGTGTGTGCACCTCGTGCAGGCTTAGTGTCCAGGGAGGTTCGAAGAGACTGGACCCCCCGGAACAGGCAGGAACTGTAGATGGTAGTGAGCCACCATGTTGGTTCTCAGAACCAAACCTGAGTCCTCTGCAAGAGCAACAAGTGCTCTTAACCACTGAGCATCTCTCTGGCCCCTATATATATATTTAAAAATTTTTATTGTCAGTGACGACGGTGCACACCTTTAATCCCAGCACTTGGGAGACAGAGGAAGGTGGATCTCTGTGAGTTTGAGGCCAGTGTGGCCTGCAGAGTGAGTTCCAGGACAGCCAGGGCTACACAAAGAAACCCTGTCTCAAAAACAACAAAAGAAAAAACAACAAATCCCCCCCACCAACAATTTTTTCATTGTATTGTATTCTAAATTGTGTGTGTATGTTCTCTGTGTGGTTGTGTGCACCTGAGTTCACAGGGGCCTGTGGAGGCCAGAAGGAGGGAGGCCCCCGCAGCTGGAATTCCAGGTGGTTGTAAGTCTTCTGACACAGATTCGGGGAACCAAAGCCGGCTCTCTGCGAGCGCAGTGCCCGCTCGCAGCTGCTGTACTCCCCAGCCCTTCCTGTGATTCTCATGGGCCGCCCTGCACCTCTGAGCACATGCTTCGATCCAGGGGACAGCGAGGGAAGGGGTCTGGCTTGGCTGAGTTCTGCAGGAGCGCTGCGGGAGAGAGGACCCTTAGATGCGTGCCATTAAGTCACAGTGGAGACAGTGGTAGGCTGAATGACGGCCCTCAGCTGTCCACTCCACAGTCCACAGAACCCTCGAATCTTGCAACATGTGACCCCAGAAGAGGTGTCCAATTTAAAATCTGGGGGACAGGGGAGATCATTAACCACCCAGGTGGACCCTACACGCCATTACCAGGGGTGTTACAGGGAGGCTGGTGCCCTGAGCAGAGGGGGGCCATGAAGCAGAGGGGAACCTCAGGGGGACGGAGTCAGGGACGCTGACAGTGGAAGCTTCTAGAACCTCAGAAACAGATTCTCCCCTACCCCCAGCTTCCTGGGAGTACAAGCCAGCCAGCATCATGATGGAATCTGGCACCAGACTTTGAAGAAAGTCCGAGCTGCTAAGCTGGAAGGTTTGTGGCAGACGGGCCGTTGGAAGGTTTCTGGTCCTGACTGAGTCTGCAGACCTGTCTCACCCAGAGCCCATAGCTACTTATTTATTGCCCTGTGCATTGCCTTTCGAATGCACTCAGAATGCCTGGGGCGGGGTTCTCCAGAGAACCCCAAGACTCATTCTCCTAGCCGCCTATGTGTCTGTCACATGACTCAGACCCCACTGAGGTCCTAAAGTCCAAATTCACACCTTGCAGAAGAGACCCCTGACGCCATCCATCTGGATGGACGGTGAGATGAGGGAACATGAGAACAAGAAAAAACCTGACAGCAGTGACACCACCTCCCAGCAAGATAAACTGGGGTCAAAGATCAGCTGTGCTCTGCGGTGCTGGGGCTCAATCCTGTTGCATACTAGGCAAGTGCTCTGCCTTGAGCAACAGCCCAGCCTCTCACTGGGGAATTCTAGGCAGGGGCTCCACCATTGAGCCACACTCCAGGCCCTCTCCTTTGGACCTAAGCAAGCCTGTGTGATTCCTTACTCCCTCTGAGAAGCGTTGGTGGACCTCACTCACCATGCCCCTCTGGCATTTCCCCTGTACCCATTCGTTCTTGCTAACGTGGAGCTGTTCCTTGTCCTTCTGCATCCCAGGCCTCAGTTCCACCTTTCATCACTGTGAGACCTTGGGTAAGCTTCTGCATTGCTCTCAGCCTCAGTTTCCTCTTCTGTGGAATGGTTGCTGTTTTGTTTAAGGAAACTGTGGTGTGTGTGTGTGTGTGTGTGTGTGTGTGTGTGTGAGAGAGAGAGAGAGAGAGACATCCTGACACAGGTCCTTCAACCCAGCCACCTCCCCTCTTCCCTCTCCACATTTTCCAAAGTGTGCTCTATGCACCTCGACTTAGTTTCCCAGCTCTACTCACTCCACACTAGGCTGATTATACCTCGTGATTATGCTTTCTATTCTGAATCAGACCTCACCAAGCTTCTCCCAGCAAGGACAAAGCTCAGATATTTTTTTTACAAAAAGAGATTCTCACTGCCCTATCCGTGGTGGCGCACACCTTTAATCCCAGCACTCAGGAGGCAGAGACAGGTGGATCTCTGAGTTCAAGGCCAGCCTGGTCTACAGAGTGAGTTCCAGGACATACAGGGCTACACAGAGAAACCCTGTCTTGGAAAGGAGAGAAGAGAGACTTTTCCTGATCCGGAGCCCTTTGTCTAGTCTTTCATCCAGACTTTTCCTGATGAGCAGGGCATCTTGGCAGCTCTCTTGTCACCTGGGTCTTTGGGTATCTCCTCTGCTTTCGTTTCTCTCCTCCTCTGTGCACCCTTTAAATGTTGAGGCTACCGTTGAGGCACAGTTTCTGTTACTCCCTGGACAGCCTGGGCAGACCCTGGCTTGCTGACAAGCTAAATCTCCCTTGTGTTCAATCAGTTTCCTCTTCTGAGGACCACAGGGCCCTGCACCTCTCTCTTCTGCACTGGACACGCCCTGTGCCCCCGATGCGCCCTCTTGCCCTCTTACCCTAGACTGACAGGCACCTGCTTTGACCTCTGGCTTCCTGTTGAGCTCAGCTGGTGTCTGCAGGAGATGGCGGGCCCTGAGGGCAAGGTTAGTGGGCCACCTCTCCACAGTGCTGCTTTAGGGTGTGTGCTCAGCTCATCGCAGCCTCTGCTTACCCCAGGTCCAGGAATGGCAGCTTCTCCCTCTGAAGCTAGCCCCGGGTCACTTGCCCCTTCCCTGTCCCTACCCAGGTCACTCCAGTGTCCTTTCTCTAAATACACCCCTTCCGCAGCCTTCAATCACCACCACTTTCCAGCCGAAGGTGCTCCCTGCGTCTTCTCGGCTTGATCCTCCATTACCCGTTTCCTAACGCTCAGCCTAGCCTCCTCCCCCCCTTCCCTTGTCCGAGTGCCTGATTTCCAGCAGCTAGTATCAAAGGAGGCTGTGAGAAATGCTTGAAAATCTACATGAGCAGCTGGAGAGCCGGCTTGGAGATTAAGAACATTGCTCTTGCAGAGAGGTCTGGGCAGGGTTCACACTGTGGCTCCCACTGCCTGTTCCTGGGGTCCAGAGCCCCCTCCTGGCCTTGGCGGGCACTGCATGCACTCAGGCACACATACACAAGCTAAAAAAATATGGAAAGTGCTGGCCAGCTCCCTTAAGACTCTTCCACAGCACCTCCTTGCTTCCTTAGTGTGGTTATTAACATCTGAGGTTCTCTCTGCTCCCCACCCCAGGCAGGAAGCACCTCTTCTGTTCCTGTTAATCCTCTGTCCCACTCTGAAAAGGCCACTGCCTCACAGGTCTGTGCACCTGAACCTTGGCTGTGCTCATTTCCTGGAAATCACCCTCATCCACGGGCGCCCCCGCCCACCACCGCATGATTCTGAGAAAGTGACCCGTTTTATTTTAAGAGATTCCGTCAACCTCAGCTCCCTCTGGCTCAGGTAATTTAGGGTCCTTCTCTTTTGCGTTCCCACAATACCCTATGAAGAGGAAGCGTTCGTGGCTGGTGAGTGGGGTGTGGCCAGCAGGATCTCCGGACTGGTTAGGGGGGCGTGGCAACCAGGGCCAGGCTCACTTCCGAAGTGTGGTCCTTGGTACTAGAAAGCTATGACTGATAGGCAGGGGCGTGGCTAGTGGAATGCGCTCAGCTGATGGGTGTGGGCTGGGCTGATGATGCCCTAGTAACCTCCCGGTGTGGTTAGTGCGCTCTGGCACCCTGCTGTCTGTCCACTCCGCGTGGTCTGTTTCCTGTTGCCTAGATGTCTGAGCTGACATCAACTCTCCCCATCCTGCATCCCAGCTTCCCACGGGAGGACTGTTCAGGCAGAACTTCAAAGTTTTATGGCAGTTTTTACAGAAATCACAGAGAAGGGACAGCGAGTGACGCTGATGAGCCAGGGGTGAGAAGGGCAGTGGATAATGGATCCGGTGCACAACTGAACGAGAAAATGCAAAAATAATAATAATAAATTAGGGAGAGCAGGAGGCTATGAGGGTGGCAGGGTCATCTGGGGCCAGAAGGAGTGGGCAAGCACTCCCCATTCCCCAAGGATGTCCTCTTGGGCAAGAAACATCAACAGTAAGAAAATGCAGGTGGCCTGCCGCACAAGGTTAAAAATGCCCACCCTCCCCCCCACCCCCCCCCCCCCCCCGGCCGAAATGTGGCAGCATTTGCTGGCTTGTAGCATTGGTCCTCTGGGACCCTCGGTCTCCTCTTCAAGGGTCCTGCCCAGGTTGGCTGGCACTGAGGGCAAAATGAACCTTCTAGACTACCGGCAGGGGAGGTCAGCTGGACTCCCTTCGATTCTCCTCCGCTGGGCTGGTTCTCAAGGCTGAGTGCTGCCCTCTCGAAAGGGAAAGTCTGTCAAGGCCCCTTCCCCCAAGACATGCACCCTCCCGCGCCCCCCTCCCCCAGACACACTATATACACACACAGGCCCCTCCCTCCAAGGCGTGGCTTGGCTCTCAGAGGTAGCGGAGGGTGAGCAGGGCGCTGGAATGTCACAGGTGGTGGGTTCAAGGTGTACCTCCTCCAGCCTGGGGACGGAGACTCCAAATGCCCCTCCCCCAAGCCTCTGAGTGAAGAAATCTGGGAAAGTGCGTGCCCCGCCCCCACTCTTGCCCACAGCCCCTTTTTCCTTCCTCTGGGCACTGCTGGGAGCTCCCTGAGGGTTAGGGGGGCAGGAAGGGTGGCATCTTGGGATGGCACAGCCTCTCTCCGAGGCGCCTGGGGAGATGCCCCCTCTACCTGGGGCACAGATAGAGGTTTGTGGCTCAGGGGAGGGGACACGAGAGGACGATCAGGCTGGCTGTCCCGGCAGACGGAGAAGGTGGTGTCCGGTGGGTGGGTGTTTGGCCAGGGGCTTCGGATGGGCTGGAGGGGGCCGAGAAGAAGCCCGAAAGAGAGGCTGATCCCAGGAAGAGGGCTGGCGAGGAGGGAGCCCAGGAGAGAAGACCCAGGAGCCCAGGCTGAGTCTGGGCAGGTGGACAGGGGTGGGCCCAAGAGCAAACGCCACCAGGTCCCACCCTCGGGCGGCGGCTAGGGCCTTAGAAGCCCCGGATGTGGCAGTAGGCCTCGAGGCTGGCGAAGAGGATGTAGAGGAACCAGAGGCCCAGGAAGAGCGCGGTGGTGGCCAGCTTGGGTCCCCGCGGGCCGCCCAGCTCGCCGCCGATGTGTGGCCGGCGCCGGTACAGCAGCACTGCGATGCCCACGAAGGCGAAGACGGTGAAGAGGGTGACGGAGAAGGCCAGCGTGCCCGTACGCACCTCGAAGGGGCGGCCCTGCACGGCCCAGTACACGGCGGCCACTGACCAGGCCACGCCCAGGCCCAGGAACACGTTCACCGCGTTGGAGCCCGTCACGTTGCCGATGGACGCGTCGGCGCACTGGTCCTGCAGCGCGGCCACCTTGCTAGCGAACGTGTCTACGGGGACAAGACACGGGGGTGAGCGGGGGTGGGTGAGCGACGGTCCCCGACCCTCGCCTACTTCCTGCGGGATCAGCCTGCATGCAGTGGGCTCCACTGCCCAGGCCAGCGGCCTGAGGCTTTCCGCTTTGTGCTCTCCTATGGGGCCCACTTTCTAAGTGTGGAGGGGCTGCTGCTGTCCAGCCCTCTGTCCCGCGCGCCTGCTCTGGAAACAGCCCTGTGACACCTACGCGTGCTCTCCCTGCTGAGGAAGGCACCAAGTCGCCCCATCCTGTCCCGAAGGTGCGCTCCTCCCCCAGGCTTGCCGGGGTCGAGACCACGGCCACAGCCTTCCCACGGGACACAGGTCACTGGCCGGTTTGTTGTGGCATGCTCATCTTCACTGGCCGGTCAAGAGATTCAGCCAGGGTGGCGTGCACGCGTGCAACCCTAGCACTCGGGAAGCTGAAGAAAGAGGCTCACTATGAGTCGGGGCCAGCCTGGGCTACCTGCTCAATTCCAGGGCAACCAAGACTACAAACTGAGGCCCTCAAGACAAAACAACAAACAAGCAAAGGCGTGGTGGCGCATGCCCATACTCTAGACACTTGGAGGTGGGGGCAAGGGAACCGGGAGTTCCAGGCAGACTCGTCTACACAGTAAATTTGGGACCAGCCTGGGCTACCTGAGCCCCCCTACAACAGAACAAAACGAACAAGGCAATGGGCTGGTGAGATGGCGCCTTGAGTGTATACACAGCATGAGGACCCGAGTTTGGATCCCAGTGCCCACGTAGAAGGCTGGGTGTTCGGCTTACAAGGTGGCTCAGCGGGTAAAGGCCCTTCCACCGAGCTGGGTGCCCTGAGTCCGAGCCCTTAAACCCACATGGCGGAGGAAGAAAGAAGTCCCTCAGGCTGCTCTCTGCGCACACACCCCTGAGAGTCCTTGCCTGGCTCTCACCACCTGCCACGTGGCTCTGTGAAGTCATCTGGGAGGGCCTGTCTATGCAGCCTCCCACCCGCCGCCACACACAATGTCTGTGAGGTTTTCCAGGAGGCCCACTCCCACCCCGGTGGTCCCCCCTTCCAGGGCTGCCTCCTGAGGCGTTACCAGGGATGGAGGTGCCCAGCGCCACGAAGACCACGGCGTTGACTGAGTCCTTGAGGCCCACGGTACAGCCAAAGTGTGAGGCCAGATCTCCGATGAGGGCCGTGAGCAGACCGATGACCAGGATGCAGACGCCAAAGCAGGCCCAGCCGTGGCAGTACTCCGTGGGCGGGACGCAGGCAAACAGGACCTTCCAGAACACCGTTAGGAAGTGCATCACGTAGTCAAAGCAGGACGGCAGCCGCTCCTCCCGAGACCCGTCCTCCTCCTCCTCCTCGTCCCCTGTGGGCACACACCATGCCGCAGACCTCCTTGCTTACACAACTCCGTTTTATTAGGCTTCCAGACATTTCCACATAAACTGCTTTCCCAGCATGCCTTGCAGCTGCGAGAATGCTGGTCTGAGATGAATGTATTTATTTTCTCAGAATCCCTTGCAGCTAAGAGAGTGTTGAGCCCAGGTAAATGTAATTACCCAGAATTCCTAGTAGCTAAGAGTACTGGGCCGAGGGAAGCTTAATTGCCTTCTCAGACTTGCAGCTAAGAGAATAAATATTGGGCTTAAGTAAATCCAGAATCCCTTGCAGCTGAGAATGTTAGAGAAAGGTAAATACATTTATTTTCCCAGAACTCCTTGCAGCCAAACTTCTGTTTACTTTCCCAGAACCCCTCAAAGCTAGAGGAGGCCATATATCCCTTGCTAGAAGTACTCAATGGCTCACAACCCCTGGCTGCTAGATGACCATGTCTTGAGCTAAAAATAGTCATTTCCTCAAAAGTCCTCAGAACCACTGTCAGCCACCTGTACATCTAGAAATATTCGCTCCCGGGAGTCACTGCAGTGGCCTGGGGCTTTGGCTCAGAGGTAGACCGCCTGCCTAGCCTGCAAAAGGTTCTGCGTTCTCTCCCCAGCAGCATCGACCAAACGCATGTCGAGACTCCACAGTCGGCTAAACATACTGGCTTTCCCAGTCTCCAGGAGCAAGACAGAGATAAATGCCCGGCTAAAATTAGCCAAGCTCCCAGAATCCCTTGAGGTTAGCAACAGCCACATCCTCAGATAAAAATATGCACTCTCCCAGAATCCCCCGCTTCTAGCCATGCTAAAATACATTCTTTCCCATAATCCCTTGCAACAGTGGGCCACTCTCCCTCTCTGGCAGTGAGACAAAAGGAGGGGTTCTGAAATGCCCTAGCTCCCTCGGTACAGGCGCCCTGTATGTGCTTATTTTCTGAGCATTGTAAAGAGTCCCAACCTGTCCCTTACTGTGGCCCCACCGACTTTTAGCACCTAGTCATTTGTGTGATTGGAAAAGCACAGAACCCTCATCCTGAGCTGATAAACTGGAGACGCTGAGTGGGAGACAGCAGGCTCGGCTGCTGGAAGGGTGCTGACAAGGAAGGTGGCCAGTGGCCAGCAGGCAGCAGGCAGGAAGGCAAGATGAGGCTAAGCCAGCTGCGGACCCCTAAGGCCACTTGCCAGTGCCAACCACAGATCCCCAGGTTTTCCCTCTAACACGCTGGAGGACACGAGCGGGGGGCGGGGGGAGCAGAGCAGGCCCCGCCCCAGCTGTAGGACTCCAGTCCCAACACCCCGCCTGGCTTTCCTGCCTTACTTAACCACGGGCTTGCCAAAGAAATAAATGCTTGAATTTGTACTCATTCGAGTGGCTTTTGTGGTTTCTTGGTTCTGCAAGACCAAACTTTTAGCCTTAACTACAAGAGAAATGGAAATTAGAAATGAAAACTGAAAACTCAGCAGACACCCTTTCTGGCTCCGCTGATTGCTATTTCGTTTCTACTAGGGCTGTGGGGCGGGCACCTGGAGGAGCAGCAGCCAATCTGCACTGATGAGGGCAAAAGCGGGGCCAGATCCAGGCGTGGCGGGAGGCAGAGGCAGGAGGACATCTGAGTTCCAGGCCAGCCTGGTCTACATGGAGGGTTCCAGGGCAACCAATGAGACAGGCCTCTGTGAGCTTCAGTCATCTGTGACGGGGTTTCCGGCTGAACCACACTGGGGCAGCTGAGGCCAGTGAGACAGGCCCAGGCTGCCTCATTGAGAGCTTCCCCTCGCTGTGCTCCAGGTCCACCATGGCTCCTGACTGCCCTCAGTCCAGACTCTTTCATTTTCTGTGGCCGACCCTTTCCTCATACCCCAAGTTAACCGCCATCTCCAAACACCCAGACCTCCACCCTTGCTACTCTACGCAGCAGAGCCCTGCTTGTCCTCCCCCTCCGGTCCCACACACCTGTCCCCAGCTGAGGCCTCAGCATGGTGGCCCTTTCCAAGACTCCCTCTGGAGACCTCCAGGCTGGGTCAGGAGCTTCAGGTGGGCTCTTGGGGTCTCTCCTCTTCCTCTGTCACCCTCCCCCCCGGGTTGTCACTGTTTTGTGGTCTTCTCCACTGTGCTGTTAGCTCCAGGGGGACGGGGACAGTGCTGTTCTACCTACTTCTCCATCTTGTCTCCCACCCAAACAGGGCATCCCCCAGATACTTTAAAAACTGCCCTGCAGAGGGCTGTGCGTTCTAGGCTGCCCTCCCCTAGCTCCACAGCCCTAACTCTCAACTGCACCAACAGCTTCTTTCTTTTCTTCTCTCTTTCTCCCCTTCCTTCCTTCCTCCCTTCCTTCGTTTGTTTATTGTGTGTGGAAACCAAAAGAAAGTTGCAGCAGCCAGTTCTTTCCCCCTGCTGCCTGAGCCCAGGAGTGGAACTTAGATTATCAGGCTGGGTTGCAGTCGCCTCTACCTGGTTAGCCATCTCTGCCCCCCATTTTCGTTAGCCGTAATTCCTTGGATATTAGTCTCCCCAGTTAAGGCCTCCCAGAAGCTAACTTGATATTATGTGTGTAAGGGAGCCCTGGATTGCAGCTCCACATCTCATCATAAACTCTTTGAGAGACTTTGGGCCACCCCTTCCTCTGAGCCTCAGTTGCAGAAAGGGCCAGTTCCCCAGATCGAGAAATCTGTGCATTCGGTCGCCGTTCTGCCTCCTGGCCACACGAGGGCGCTGCAGGTCCACGGGAGAACCAAGAAGGGTGCGGCCCACAGCAGGTGGGAAAGAGCCCTATGCCCTCTGCTTCCATGGCAACAGAGGAGCCCAGGGCTTGGGGGGGTGGGGGGTGGGCGGTGCCATTTCACCTATCTGCTAACTTCCTGGTGCTCCTAGGGTAAAGGCCGGGTGGCCCCTCACCTACCTCAGCGGAGCCTTCAGCTGCTGGGACCACCGCACAGGGCCAACTTTCTCCTTCCTTCTGCCTCTCCCTCTCTGCCCTCTGTGTGGGAGGGGGTGCTCGCTCTCTGCCTGTCAGCTGCGCCCATCTGTCTTCTTTATGCAGCCTCCGTCTGTGTACCTTTGCGCCCCTGTCTCTCCATCACCTCCCTTGCTCTCACCCTGCCCCCTTAACTTACCTGCGCTCACCGTAACTGCCTCTAAAAACTGTTCCCTCCACGAATGAGTCCCAATCACCAAGGCCAGGTTCGTTTTCTTTATGAGTTTATCCACTGTGTTCTGGGAAAGAGAGGGTAAAGGGGGGGATTGCTGCCCACAGCGCCCCGGGGTGGTGTGATGGGGGAGGGGAGGCTGGAAATCAAACCCACATTCAAGGAGGCTCTACACGCCCAGTTCAGGAAGGCGGTTATGTGCATTCCACAGTGCTGAAGCTGGCCCTGGAGACTACCCGGGAACCCCATTGTGGTCCCCAACTTTGAGATTTGCATGCTCTTCCTTTCCTGGGCCTCCCCCCCACCCCTTGCCATGCCCAACATAGCTCAGGACCGGCTTCAGGAAAGTCACCTTAAAGTCATAAGACTCCTCAATGATAACCTCGAGGCGACAGTTCTCCCCAAGAACTGGCTTGCCCATCTCCGCTATTCTCCAGGCCTCCTCCTCCTCCGCCGTCAGTTTCCTGTCCCCTTCCCCTGCGGCACGAGGAGGGAAGGTTAGACAGCTGAGAGGGGCAGCAGTGCTGTCTGCTCTGTCCGGGACGCCGGCTGGCGGACTCGCCCCGCTCCCGCTGCCCACCTGCCCCCTCGGCCCAGGAAGCTCTAGGAATGCACTCTGGGTCCTCATGGAGGCGGTGTGACCTCAGGTGGGCACTGCCCTTTCTGCTTCACAGTTTCTCCATCTGCTGATGGGTACAGTAAAAGCACCTACTTCCTAGGGCCCCAAATGTCACTCTAACGTCACACTCTAGTCTCGCGCCTGCACGCAGCCCTAGGCCCCATTCCCAGTTCCACTCCTGGACAGCATCAGCAGCCTCTGGGCCGCTCAGCACAGACAGCTAACACCCACATCACACAGCTAATGGCTGGGCTGCACTTCCCATCATTTCTTGTAGCCGGACATGGCCATGTGACTGAACTAACACCAGCGGTACGGGGTAGTGTGGAGGGGTGAGCCTCCAGGATCTCCCTTGCGGTCCTGGGGAGTTTCTTGCTCAGTTGCCTGCAGACAGCTCAGTGGCAGGTGGAGGCACAGTATGGAAAGGCCACACTAGAAAAGAAAACCACCGGCCACAAAGGAAGCCTGGGAACCTTTGACTGGGCAACAAATAAATAAATTACTGCAGCCAGCATTTGCTCCTTTTTTTTTTGTAGCAAACAGGACTGTGTGTTACGGCAGCTTGCTGGAGTTCCCAATACAACTGAGCCTTAGGCTACTCACAACTGTGCGCTATCATGCAGATCTTGCTTCTAAACCATCACTATAGCCAAGCTACTTGCTTTAACCTCAGCTCTAACAGCCAACTTGGAATCCATTCCTTTTTTTCTTTCTTTCTTTCTTTCTTTCTTTCTTTCTTTCTTTCTTTCTTTCTTTCTTTCTTTCTTTCTTTCTTTCTTTCTTTCTTTCTTGGTGTGGCTGGTTTGAGACAGGCTCTCTATGTATCCCTGGCTGTCCTCAGCCTCACTATTGAGACAAAGCTGGCTTCCAAATCACAGAGATCTGCTTGCCTCTGCCTCCCTTCCGAGTGCTGGGATTAAGACATGGCTACCAAGTCTGTTTTTCTTTTCTCTTCTGTTTTGATATCCCAGTCTAGGCTCAAACTCTCTGTAGCTGAGGATGAGCTTGAGCTTCTGATACTGTTGCAGTGCAGGGATTACAGGCACCCTACAGCGTTAGGGATGGGACCAAGGGCTTTGTGCATCGTAGGCAGGCAACCTACAGACTGAGCTATCCTCAGCCTTCCCTGGCCCCACTTCTAAAGTGTGTGTGTGTGTGTGTGTGTGTGTGCGCACGCACAGGTGCCAGAATAGGGCGTCAGATCCCCTGGAGCCGGAGCCACAGATGGAAGTAAGCGACCCAGAATAGATGCTGGAACTGAATCGGAGTCTTCTGGAAGAACAGCCAGGGCTTTTAACAGCTGAACCATCTATCCAGCCCCAACCTCACTTTTAGCATAAACACTGACTTCAGTTCTAATCTAATCCCATCTCAATCCCTGACAACAAGCTCTATTTCAGTTCTTGTCTTGACCCAGTGAGAAGATGGATCTTGTACCTCAAACTTACCCTGGCCACATTCAAACCAGTGCCAAACTGGATTCATACATGCCACAAGCTCAAATCTGAATTTAAACTCAAGTGTCCCCCCCCCATTTTTGATTATACTTGTCATCTTGAATGACACAACTCCCACCCCAGTCCTAGCAGGCTCCAGTCTTCACTGACCCCAAATCCAGCCTGCCCCAAACCCAGCCCGGTGGCTGCAGTGGCTCCTCCCCTCCAGCCCCAGGGGTTCCTTCACTCACCTTGGTTGAGTAGCAGAGCTGGGGAGAGACAGAGACAGGGACACAATAAGAGAGTCGATTCTCCTCAAAGCTCAGGCTCGCGAGCCCCCCGGAGCTCCCAACCCTGGGCTCCCTGCTTCCCCCAGGGCCACCTCTTCTCCCTCACCTGAGATGCCCCGCTTCAGCCACTGGGGCTGGCCCAGCTCGATAAAGAAGTTGTCCTTCTTCTCATACTCTTCGTCGTCCACTATCTTGACCTGAAGGGTCTTCCTGAGGGAAGGAAGAAGGTATGAAGTGCCCAGCACAGCCGCCTTAGTATGATGCTATTGGCTCCTGGTGGGGCTTAGGCAGGCACTCCTTTATCAGGAAGAAGCTCTATCAAAATGCAACCGCCCCAGGACAGAGTCACGATTTTGTCCCATTTGTTGGAACTATTCCTAACCCAAGAGACTCAAATAACATGTCTGAGTGAAGCTAGATCCTGGAAGAAGCTGGGAAGATGGCTCAGTTGATAAAGCACTTCCCATGAAAGCCTGAGGACCCAAGTTCGATCCCCAGCATCCATGTGAAAACAAGCTTGGCAGGATGGTACGTCTGTGGGGGTGGAGGCAGGCCAGCCAGCCTTGCCTAACTGGTGAGCTCCAGACCAACAGGAGCTGTTCCAAATAAGTGGACAGTGTCTCTAATGATGGCACGTGAGAGTGTCCTCTGCCCTCCACACATATGTGCATACACACATGTCCACATTAAAAAAAACTGGGTTTGTAATCCCACCTGCTGGAAAGACTGAAGCAGGGGTTACCATGAGATAAAGTCTAGCCTGGGCTACAGAGAGGAAGGAAGGAAGGGTTGGGAGATGGTCTGTGCACTGTGTGTTCCAGAGATCTGGGTGCAGCGCACACGTGGGTGATGTCATTTCTGTGGAGAACCTCCTGTCTCAGTGTTGTGTAAACACTGTTCTCCATCATCTCTGATTGGTTAATAAAGAGCTGATCAGCCTATAGCTGGGCAGAGAGGACAGGAGGCAGGACTTCTGGTCCCAGTCAGGGGGGTCTCAGGTGGGGACCAGAGAAGAAGAGAGAGGGGAGGAGGAGGTTACCATGAGGGCAGACAGATGGAGCAGAAGCAGCCAGGTTAGTGCAGACGGGCTTGAACAGATCAACATCTGACCAACTGTAAAGCTCATTAATAACAAGGCTACACAGAGAAACCCTGTCTCAGAAAAGAAAAAAAAAAAGAGCTTATGAATACATCTAATAGGTCTCTGTGTCATTGTTTGGGAGCTGAAATAGGTAATAGAAAAGTGGACTTTTACTTTATTTTGCCAGGAACGAAGGAAGGAAGGAAGGAAGGAAAGAAAGAAGGGAAACAACTCAGTCTATCAGTACAAAACCACTGCAGCTTCCCCCTCTCCACCCTGACCACATTTGGAAGATCAGCCTAATGTGCCCAGTTTTTTTCCAGCATCTCTGTTCCCATGGTAACCAGGGTGAGGCAGGGAATAGCCCAGTGTTACCTGTCCCCTTAAGGCACTGAACCCACACACCTCCTACCCCTCCTTGCAATCTCCAAGCCCCACCGCAAAGAATGCTCACAGATTGGGTACCAGCAACTCTTGGCTAGAGGAACCGTGTATGTAGCCAGCCCCATAAGGCCTGGCCCCAGATCCCAGCCACACAAACACCCCACCCACGCAGTCACCAATAGAGGAAGCTCCACCAGTCACCCGCCCACATGCACAGCCATCCGCCCAGCCATCCTCCCGCGGCGCATGATCTCAGGGAACAGATGCCTGTTAGTTTGAGAGACACCCCAACACAGCCTGGAGACAGACACTGTCACCCTGTGGGACCCCTCTAATTCTCCTCCATGGACCTTGCTCTTTTGTTATTTAATTACTTTTTGTTTCTGTGAGACAGTGTGTTACTATGTAGCCAAGGCTGGCCTGGAACTCACCAGGTAGCCCGAACTGCCTTGAAATTCACTACCCTCCTGCCTCTGCCTCTAAAATCTGGGGTGGTAGGCATATGCCACCACTCAGAGCTTAGATTCCTCTCTTTCTGCCATTTGCTGTCTGTGTGTATTGCTTCAGCGTCGATCTCTGCATGCTTGGTCTCCCTGTCCACCACCCTCTCCATGCCTTTCTCTGTGTCTCTGTATCTCCCTGCTTCTGCTTCCTTCCTCATTCAACTTTTCTTTATCTGCTTTCTCTTCTTTGTCTTCGCCTCTCAGGGGACCCCAGATGAAATAAGGTTAACACAATCAGGCAGAAGACTTCTAATCAGAAGACTTCCAATCAACACATCCTAGCAGATGAATTTACACAGCACACAGAGATACTGTCGTGGAGAGACAGACACCCACCTCCACTCTTTGGGTTTGAAAAGTATTTATTTGAGACGGGGTCTCTTGTAGCCCAGGTTGGCCTCAAACTGTATGGGAAGGGCTGGCGAGATGGCCCAGAGAGTAAAGGCATTTGCTTGCTGACTTAAGTGTGATCCGTAGAACCCACATTTTAAAAGGCTGAAGGTGAGAAAAGCTCTCCAAAGTTGTCCTAGTCTCTGCATGCCTGGGCCTCAGAACACACATCCACACACGGCATGTACATGCCAACAAATAAATGAAAATTCAAACTTGACGCATAGAGAAGGATGAATTCGAACACCTCACCCTCCTACCTTTACTTCCTGAGTGCTGAGATTAAAGTTGTGGGCTGTCATGTCCCACTGATGTGGAGGCCCCGGGAATGGAGCCCAGGGCCTCGGGCATGCTAAACAGTCTACCAGCTGAGCTACACTTCCAGTTCTGTCTGTAAAACAAGTTTTCACACTGCAGCCAAGGCTGGCCTGCAACTCACGGCAATCCTCCAGTCTCCAGCCTCACCTTCTGGGATCACACTCAAGCAATACTGTGCTCAGGTGGGTTTCAGAATATTGTGCTAAGGGCCTGGCTGTGGCGCACGCCTGTGATCCCAGCACTCCAGGGAGGCAGAGTCAGGCGGATCTCTGTGAGTTCGAGACCAGCCTGGTCAAAAAGCGAGTCCAGGACAGCCAGGGCTGCACAGACAAGCCTTGTCTCAAAAACAAAACAAAACATACAAAAAAACAAAATTTAAATATTCGTATGTATACAGCACTGAGGCAGCCCCCGGCTTAAGGAGTGGGTGGGGCGCTGTCCGAAGTGCTGAAACATGTTCGGGGACGCGGGCTTGGGATGAGGACAGTCTCCCAAGACACACCGGGCTCCTTAAATAATTCACAAACAGACACAGTGACACACCGACATGGTGGCACACGCTCCCCACAAACGGCTAACACCCGGTAACTGATACCTGGTGTCAGTCAGTGCTCTGACAGGCAGCCCAGGACAATGACGGAGTCAGCCAGGCAAAGGGAGGACGGTCCTCGCCAGCTATTCTCCTGCCATTCCTGGAAGCTCCATTCCACCCCTCACCCCTCAAACTCCAGTGTCTCTGCCTTCTCCTTGTGTTTCCTTGACCCCGGTTCTCTGGGTCTGAGTCCTTTCCTACATTCTCTGTCCTCCACTTCCTTCTCCTTGCCTCTCTCTGTTCTCTCTTTGGTTATCTCCGTTAAGTCTCTGACTCCTCCAATCTCTGTGTTGATCCTGCCCAGGCCTCCACTCCAGCTTGGTTGCTTCAAAGCTCCTCTAATTAGCGCCTGCCCGTCAGAGGAAGGATGTGTTTCCCTAAACGCTAATTAGCCTCCTGTTCTCTTGTCTCCTGAAGCCACAGCTGGAAGCTTGGGCGCAGGCGGGAGGTGGGAAAGGACAGAGGGTGTCCCGGGCGGGGGAAGCCTCGTGGGGGAGGAGAGGCCCATGGGATTGCAGCAGCAAGAAGGAAGCGAGTTAGACGAGCAGAAGGACCAGAACCATAAAAAGACAACCCTGCTATTCCCTCTGCCTCTTGAGTTTGGGAGATGAGGTTAGGGATGAGGCTAGGGCTCCAAGCAGCCGTCACTCTCCCTCCTCCCCGGCCCAAAGAGAAAAATGTAGAGAACTGTGCAGGGCCTATGACTAAAACATAACCCGAGGCAGAAAGCCAGAGACTGAGGACAGAGCCAGTCGGTTCCCAGAGAGGCATAGCCTGGGAGGTCAGAGATGCAGGGTTGGGAAGCCATCACCGGCCGGCTGGAGGCGAGGCGGAGGCCCAGAGGCTGGAGGGAGCGCGTGGGTGGCCAGAGGAGGGAGCCAGCCGCTGCGGGGGCAGCGGGAGGGCGCGGGGGCGCTGTGCTGGCTGCGCCCAGCAGGCGCCGGGGAGGTGAGCTCCGGGCCTCCGCGGCGGTGCCAGGGAGCAGAGTTTGCAAAGCCCTGTCCGTCTACGCATCTACAGGGTCTAGGTGTGAGTACAGGGACCTCCCAGTGTGCAGGCACCCAGACCCCAGGTCCCCCGAATCCTGTTCCTCCTGCCAGTTCCCTGGCCCTCCCACAGTTTCCCAGGTTTTTCCTGGGTCTTTCACGCCTCACCTCTCCGACTTCTCCCACACCTAAGGCCCCACCCACCACTCAACCACGCCCCCTCCTCTCGGCCCAGCTCCCCTAGGTTGGTTCAGTAGGCCATTCCCACCCACAAGCACGCCCCTTTCTAAAGCCCCCCCCCACCTGAGACCCTGCCCTGCGTCCACAGCCCAACTGACTC